GACCAGCTTTATCATAAACCTTAACTGGCAACGCACTGAGATTTACTGACAGGCTGCAGCCCGTAGCCTCCACTCTGCAAAATGCTGCCACAATAAGCTATGTGGCGCCTGATTAACCATGGGCGGTGAAAAGATTTTAAGTGCAAATACATGACAGAATACCATGTCATTATTCAGATGTGTTTACCTGGAAATTATTAGACATTTATTTCTTCTGTCATTTCCTGTTGACTTTTTGGTTATCCAGAAATGTTTTTCAGGAGAGTGGCTCAATCTTGACTTGGATCCTATTTGTTCAGTATACGTACTAATAATGTAGGTTCATAATTTCCTTATTACCTGTAAAATCTGTCAAGAAAATATCTCTCTTTATTACTGTTAAGTTTAAATTGTTACTAATATTCCTTGGTTACTGTGTGCTGCCAAAAATTATATTGTGTAAATGATTGAACTTTTATGCTCATTTATTCATTTTTGATTGCACATATTTTATTGAAACTGAAAATGAGCACTTCAAGCTATTGTGTGTGGTAAAACGTATTGAACTCTCAGCCAATATCTTGTATTAAAGTATTGCACTTGATATACAAGAAAAATTCCTCAAATTAATTCTTCATGGATATGTGACCCTATTATTTAAAATGATATATATTCAATGCATTGGAAAATGGCCATTTCTAGTATTTTCTGTAAAAATTCACATGTATTCCAGTATTCTGAAATATGACTGTAGCCCATTTGGCAATTTCTAGTGTTTTCTGTTAATATTCACATACATGGCTGTAGCCTGTTTTTTACAAAGAAGGCGACAGTTGTTGCCGCTATTTTGACTGCTATTTTACTCAATTATATTCTTGAAGTTCTATAATGTTGATTCTGTGTTACTGGCATTATTGAGTTCAAAGATGCCAAATGTTGAGGAAGCTTATAATATTTTTTTTTTTTGTGTTCAATTGCATTCAAAGTTTTTTCAGAGGATCTGATTTAGCAACATTAAGCTATTTTTCTGGATAGGATTTGACTCAGCCGCTTTTATTTTTAATTCATAAGAAAAATGTTCTAGCTAACATTGAAATAGATTTGCGAGTGATTAGTTATTAAAATATTTCATTGAATAATTTGGATCAATGCAAAGCTTTCCTGCCAAGGACCTTGTTTTTTGCAGACACGCACGCCTGCAGCCTGCTGCATGGCATATGCCAACTTTGTGAAGCAAGCTTTGCATTTGCATCACTACAAGCTGAAGCATCCAGATGCTGAGGATCTCCCAAAGTGGACATCTAATCATGAATTGATGCTCATTAAAGAGTGAGAGAATAATTTAGTACATTTAGGTATCTTCTAGGCTGTTTCAACTTGTTTTTTTCTATTAATTTCTAGATACCATATGCCAGAAATGTATCTTATTGTGTGCTTATGTTACTTATTCAATCCAAGTTTCTTTCTATGATGCTAGTCCTGTCACCACCATCATGCAAAACAAGGTCTTCCAAAGTTCAATTGGCTGTTGAGTTTTTTGTTAATTTTACTGTCTGTTATTATGTAATTTTATATTTTTATTTGATTAATTTAATTTAATTTATTGAATTTGTAATTTCATCACTGCCAATAATTATCTGAATTTCTATATATGAGATTGTCAATGACTATGGATATTACAATCATTAAACTTATCTATTAACATTTTATTTTAATTCAACTTTTAGTTGATAATCTCATTTGATATTTTACTTCTTATTTCTCTGTTTACATTTTGTGATGATCATGACATTTCTTCATTGTTCACAACCAACTCCACTTCCAGTGTCTTCATGAGGATTGATTTGAACAAAATATTCTATCCAGTTCATAATCAACTGCATGAATCAGGAAGAAGTTCTTAGATTAAACTGTTGTTCATCAGTAAATGATAGCACTGGTTGTGTTCAGCTCCTGCTTGGCTTGCAATGAGAAGAGCAACTTGTGTTGCATCATCCTTGTTTAGATGGAGACCTTGTGTGTGATACGTTTTAGGAAATAAGATTGAGAAATCAATTTTTGGTCCAGAATGTCCAGCATCATTTGCAATAAAATCCTCTCATTGATAGCATGCACTGAATTGTTGAGCAATGCAATTTTAGAAGCTTTGTGGTAAGATAAAAGATACATGCAAAAACTAGTTATATGAATCACGTTTTTTAAAGTGAACACCATTTTGACATGAAAAAAGAAATAAATTTATTATAAATAATAGTGATTATAAATAATAATAATTTATGTATTATTTTACTGCTCTTTTAACTACTATTTACCCTACTTTACTAATATACATAATTCCCATTAATCTTGAGGTATTAATTGTATCTCTGCACCAGCTTTTGTAAGCCATTGTCAAAAAAGCCTGCTACCTGACTAGAAAATGAAAAAATACAATTTCAAAAGAACACTTCTTGTGATGGCAAGAAACTTTTGAGATAACAACAAAATTGTGAGTTGTCTTCTCTTTCACTTATCAGTCCACTTTTTCAATCAAATTATTTGTAAAGACTGAAGGTCTCTCACTTTGTTTTACATCATGAATGTTTTTGCTGCCATCTTTAAAGGCCCTAACCAATTTACACACTATTCCATCCCTCATAACTTTTTCTCCATGCACCTCACTGAGTTAGAGATGAATATCAACTGATTTATACCTTGAGCACAGAAAAGCCATACAGTACTACAGCACAAACTTCGCAGTTGACAGGATTCTCAATATAGGTGAAGGAATTCAAAATTATGTAAACAGATGTAACTACAGAGTGTGCATGCTCTGAACAGTGACTGCAGCATTGCTGTGGTGTAATTTAAAATTGCTTCTAATTCTAAAAACATGCCTTATAATTATCAATTTTGCGCCTAAAAGCTGAAGTGTCTGAATATAAGTAAATTAACTTTATCCACTGTTATCTAACTTTTTATAGATTTCTTACTGTGTAAATCCTTCATTTAAGAATATGCATCTGCTTCATTTCTTTCCATAATGGACATATGTACAATTTTATTGGTTCAAAAATTAATTTATCATGTGATGTTCACTCTAGAATTTTAAAGTGTCATTCTAGAGATAATGCAAACTCTATTTGTGGAACCTGGCTTCTTTTTATTTATCTGGATGTATATATTCTTGCTTTTAGGCAGAAATTCATGTTCAAGCTTAACGCTCTAAAAAATACTTGATAGATGTGATACAACATTGTTAGTCACATGTTTAAAAATGATTTCCGAGTTTAACTTATAATTCTGCCTTATATTTATGTTCTTCTTGTCTTCCGTCCAGTACCAACTGATGAATTATTTTGTTTACAGGATGATCAGATCCCCTGCCAATACGCTGGTGGTGATGGACTTCAGGTCAATGATGGCCCTACCGGAGTTTGAAGGCTTCAGTGACAGCTACCTGCGACGCATGGCGCGTGATGCTATTGCTGCCTGGGTGCCTCTTCCACAGCGGCGCAACCTCGACGGTATCTTGCTGGTTTCCACTCTCCAAATGTTATATCACTTTATGCTGAAAGCTGCTATCTTGCTCCTTCCCACTCTCCATGTGCTATACCACTTATTGCTGCATGCCATTGAAGGCCAGTATGATTTTAACCCAACTACATTGTACACAGAACAGCACCAACTAGACCATGCCGAATCAATGTTTCAACTGCTCTTAATAAACAATTATTGTGTCTAATGATATAGTCTTCCCAAACATTTTCAAACAAAATAAGCACATAAAGTAACCAACTTGAGAAGTAATCACGCAAGAAAAGGAACTTTGTAACATATTATAGTATGAACAAATCCAACATCTGAACTATAAATGCACACAACCAACTAATTTATCTTTCTTAATTCTGTTCAGAGACAGTAAAGATCTATCCATCTGATGTTTAGGTCACAGTATAACTTTAGAAATTAACATTGGGGTAATGCTTGTCGAAAGAATGAACTACTCTCTGAACAATGCATCCTAACAATGAGAAAAGTAGACATATACCGATGATGAGTCAACATAATTAGGAGTGGTCAGCAAAAGTGGGACCAAGACACTCACAAAAATAAGTTTGGCTTGCTGAATGGTTGAATCCTTGGAGGATCTCCACAAAGAAGACAGAGTAACAAGTAACAGCTCTGTTGGTGGATTTTTTGGAGTATTCCCACAAAGAGGACAGAGTAATAGATAACATTTCATGCAACACTCGCATGAAACTTGTACTCATCACCTTATGACCTTACCTTATGTTGAGTTTAGGACTTCGTAGTCCATGGTCACGCTGATGCGCCGCCTTCGTCGTCCTCCGTTTCCGAGTCGTCGCTAGGCAGGTCTAGAACATCGAATGATGTAGCAGCATGATGAAGCATAAACGTCTTAACTACAATGCCCGATTAACGATTACCCGGACAGTGGCCTAAAGTGCAAGCGCATCATGAAAACATGACGTGAAATATAATTGATGTTACTGAAACTGCCGAATATTTCTGACACATTATGACATGAGACCACATGCACTCGAAAATTACCTGAAAATGCATACGATGCAATAACCTGCAAGATTGTGTGTCAAAATCTCACACAGGCAATGTGAGATTGGGTTACATTTATATATTATACATCGCAGTACAATCTATGCAAGGCTTGTCAATCATAGTTTTAGCTGTTAGGTATTATTAGTGCCGTTCTTCGTACACAATTCGATGTAATTTTTCTCTGCTGGATTTGGTACACAGAATAATAATAATCTCGCAACAATGAAGGTTATTTTTCTGTATGACTTGTACTTTATTATTGAGTTCTGAAATTAATGAACGTTACCTCTCTTGTCTTCTTGTAACAGAATCACTTAACTCAAAGATGCACATAACATTGCAGTTTTCAGAACCTTGTTGAACATTAATTTTAGTGATGAATTTGTTTAGTATATCACTCCAAACTTCAATAATTCTCACTAAACCAATTTTTACCATTGAGAATGTTCAATTACATTTATTTGTAACCAACTCTTTTTGTGCTGCACAGACTCGCTGGACTACCTAGCTACTCACATCCTGCCAAAGCTCGAGCGCAAGCTTGACAACCACTCCAGAGTGTTGAAGCAGATTAATCTCTACCTCCATAATATTTCCAATTTGAGAGATTAGCATTTAAAATATAAGGTTGATTACAGTTTGCATTTTCGTTGCAATGACAAATCTGTTTATCTCTACCCTTTTCTGATCGCAACTAATTTCTTGGGGTTATTTATTCCATTATTTAACTGCGTAAACAGCTATGTTAACTTTACCTTGAATTCTGATGCATTTCGACCATTACTCGTCGATGCAATCGAACCTTACTCGTCACGTGCAACTGGTCCTGGCGCGTAAATCCTCCCTTGAACTGTGCCGAGCAATCAGACGGGGTGTTACATACTTGATGCATTAGGTGCGTTGCGCCACATTCACGTTCATTATCCTTGCTATGAAGCTGAACTCGTTCGTCTGAAGAATTTAAGTACTGAACCCAACTTTTTGTTTAAAGTTAAGAGGACCTTTCACCCCAAAATCTATTTTCTATATTTAGGGAAGGATCGTCTCCAAACTTGGTACACATATGTTTAAACAGAATTCTAAGACTTTTTTGTTCATGTGAATTTTTCGAAAAAAATGGAAGAAAACGTGAAATTCATAGAAAACGGCCAAAAAGGGGGGTACTCAAAAAAAAGTTATAACTGCTGCAAATCACATGCTACAACATCGAGACACACGTATCATTCGATGCATAAAGCGATTCTCGGGCCAATTTTCAAATTTTTTTCTTGGTTCTCTTTTTATGACGATTTTTCTAAAAAAATTAAATTTTTCGAAATTTACCCATATTTCCCACCCTTTTTTCAAAATATTTTCAAAACTATAACGAAATCGAAAAAAGTGGCCCGACAATCTCTAGATATTTTAATTGCGAATCGAATGGTATATGTCTCATCACTGTAACTTCAAAACTCGAGGAGTTATAAAGTTTTCCGTGACCATAATTGTGAATGCATATTACAGCCCGACAAAGTCGCGGGAGCATCTGCATAGCACTAAACGTAGCAAGGATACGAAACTATACGTTGCTGGAGCTCGATTCCACTCAAGGATGCTGAGAGCAAGTGCTAGTGCACCTCCCCTTATGCTGTCTGCGGGGTATCTGAGGTGCACTTCGTGTAGACGCTCTATTTCAAGTGTTTGGTAGCTAATTACTTCCATAGGGATTTGTTAAAGAACACCGCACCCGCCCCCCTTTTGGGATCTCTACTGAACGCATAGCTCAACGTACAGAGATGGTTTTGGTACCGTTGAATGCGTCAGAAAAGCAGCTTTAAGATGAGTTTAGTAACTGGAGAATGGCATAATTGGCCGCTTTACGTCAGACGATTTACTTTATAGTGAAAGGCCGTACAATTACTCCCTTGACTTTATTGAAGGGGGCCGGACGCCCGCCCCCCTTTTGGGATCTGTAGTGAATGCATAAATCAACGTAACGAGATGGTTTTGGTACCGTTGGATAGCTCAGAATGTCAACTTTAAGATGAGACTAAAAACAGGAAAACGCCAAAATCCAAAATTTGGCCGTGAAATGATGACGATTACCTTACTTGATGACGATTACCTTAATGGGTAAACTATTGGAAAATTGTCGGAGCGAGATTCCATATGTTAACAGGTAGATGCAAGTCATCAAGTAAGAGCTTGTATTATTGCAACAAGGAAGGTGTAATGGATCAACAAGTAGCATGGAACGAATCAACGAGGTAAACTAAATTCTTGTGAGGAACATGTAACTTATCAACAAGAGATGTTTCGACAGTTTCATGCGATGCTTCCGACAACTACTAATATATAGAGATGCAGTATATCAACAAGTAACAATTTACAACAACACATTTAAGTTCCAACATTGAACCTGATATATTTCAACTAAGATCATGAAGTAACACTTTGTGATATATAGGGATCCGTTTTGCGACAAGATTCGTGGTCATGATTTACTGCGCCGGTAGATGGCCGAAATGAACAACCCATTTTTTTATTCATTTTTCGTATCGCAGAGCGTTATCAGCGCTTTTATTATTCACTTTGTTCTCAACCAAAAAAGATAACACGACACAAGATTATCCTGAATTGTACAGAAACAAATTTCAGTGTGCGATTGTTACCCGTGCATAATTCTGGCAATTCACAACCGAGCTCAACCTCTAAAAACTACACATCTTTCAATGCGTTTTGCATCTTAATTTTTATTTTAGGCCCTTCATTTACACTATTTACTCTTCATCAACCAGAGTAGGGAGTTTTGCTCAAATCTGGGGGACTTTTTAGCAAAAGTGGCAAGATTTGAATGGCATCACAACCACCTCTTTGAGAGGGTGTGACAGAAATCCAAATTGAAGCAAAAGTGGCAAGATGAAACAAACTTCCAACAAAAATCCAGTTGTGCTCAGGCTGGGA